TATGCAGAAGAAATCTTCCATATAGATGATGTTACCTATGCAGAGACTTGCATCAGTCCAATCTCAGCTCTGTGTCCCTAGGGAAAGAAATAGAATTCATTTGTCTTTTGCATTAGGGATAATCATGAGGCGCAAAACCTGATTCATAAAGAGCAGAAGGATTACAATAAAAAGTAAGAGGTCACTGATAATTTAAAAAAAAATAAGAGACCAGGAGGAAGGCAAAGGAATAAGCAGACGACAAAACAAGGTATACAAGGAGGGAAATGGGGATATTTAAAATAATGAAGTGTACACCAAATAGAAAGGTTTAAGTCTAGGGTCTCCAGATACAAATAGGATTAGAATTAGAGGGGACCTTAGACTTAGTCCAATCTGCTCCTTTTAAAATGTTGGAGAAGATGTGGGAAAATTGGAACACTAATGGATTGTTGGTGGAGTTGTGAAATGATCCAACCATTTTGGAGGGCAATTTGGGACTATGCCCAAAGGGCTATAAAAATGTGCATACCCTTTGACCCAGCAATAGCACTTCTAGGGCTGTATCTCAAAGAGATCATACAAATGGGAAAAGGACCCACATGTACAAAAATGTGTATAGCAGCTCTTTTTGTGGTGGCAAAGAATTGGAAATTGAAAGGATGCCTATCAAAGGATGGCTGAACAAGTTGTGGTATATGAATGTAGTGGAATACTATTGTGCTATAAGAAATGAGGAGCAAGCAGACTTCAGAAAAACCTGGAAAGACTTGGATGATCTGATGCTGAGTGAAGTGAGCAGAATCAGAAGAATGTTGTACACAGTAACAGCCATGTTGTGCAATGACTAATATTGATAGACTTAACCCTTCTTAGCAATGCAAGGATCTAAGACATCTCCAAAGGCCTCATGATGGAAAATGCTATACACATCTAAAGAAAGAACTATAGAGTTTGAATGCAGATCGAAGCATACTATTTGCTATTTTTTTTTCTGTTGTGTTTTGTTTCCTCTTTCTGGTGGTTCCTCCTATTGGTTCTAATTCTTACTTATAACTTCACTAATGTGAAAATATGTTTAATAGGAATGTATATGTATAACCTATATCAGATTGCTCACCATATTGGGGAGGGAGGTGAAGAGGGAGGGGGAGAAAAATTTAAAACTCAAAAGCTTATGGAAGTGATTGTTGATAAATCAAAATAAATTAATAAAGTTAAAAAAAGAAAAAAGAGAGGATATGGATTTCAGTAAATTTCAGTAAATGACTAGAGCTAATGATGTCTTCTGGTTGACTAGAGTAGAGGCAAAAACACATTTGGGGACTCATGACCTTGTTGAGTCATTTTTCAGTCATATCTGACTCTTTGTTACCTTATTTGGGGTTTTCTTGGCAAAGGTACTGGAGCGGTTTGCCATTTCCTTCTTCAGTTCATTTGACAGATGAGGAAAATGAGGCAAATAAGGTTAAGTGACTTGCCCAGGGTCACACAACTAGTTAAGTATCTGAGACAGAATCTGAACTCAGGAAGATGAGTCTTCCTGACTTCAGGCCCAGCACTCTCTCCACTGAGCCACCTAGCTGCCCCAGATTTAGGGATGAAATCCACAAAGTATCTTGAACCAATATACTTGTCCCTCCAGGGATTGAATCATCAAGTACAACTTGGGGCAGGGGTGGTAACCCATATACTGTGAGGGTATGCTTGAGGATACTCAGAGATGTATTTGAAGATACTTCTTGGACACTCTAGTATCTCAAGGCCCCCCTGGAGAAAAATTGCTATATTCATTTTGTTTTATTTTCAGATTATAATTAGATAGTCATTTTTCTGGCATGTTTCTTTGTAAGTCAGACCAGTAGTTTTGAGACAAATTTTGCATGGTCAAATGCTTAAATATTGATACTTGTTTTATTACCATGTGCATTACAAATACAGAGGCTGATTTGAACATTATGAATGTTGCATCCCTAAAAAAACTGATGGTTAACTATGCTCCTGGAGCCACACAAGGATTTATGCAACAATAACATTGAAAGAAATCTGTCAAATGCTATAGATTCTTTGGAGAAATATAAAATATAAAGTGCTTCAAATTTCCCCAATGTTGAAACTTTTTCCTCAAATTACATAGTAATGTAGTTTCAACTGTGACCTGGATGTACTCATTAATGAAATGTACATTCAGTGGAAGAATTTAGATTTGGGATGGAAGAGGCTGAAATTCAAGGAACCAGAATGGGTAAATGGAGGTGGGACCAAGAATGAAAGCCACCTCAGGCCCCAAAAACACTAAGCTTGACATCATCATGCTGAGTTGTTTATGGATCCATCCCATTTCGACTCTCCCTCTACAGAGATCTAAGGCGGATCTGCTTAGATATGGCTGAGATTGATAGCTTTGTGATGGTAAATTGGGCCATCTTCTGTCTCAATTCTTACTTAGCCTTTAGTCATTGAATAGATGTAGCTTCAGGCGAACTGAAACCTTGCAAACACCTTAATTTAGAAAGGCCAAGGTCATCCACTGCATCCTAGGCCATCATCAGATGTCTTGACTTTTGTCTATCCAGTAGTCTTGAATGACTTTGAAGAGGAGAGTGAGGGTGATGACTTTGGGATGCTCTGCCTCACTTAAAACCAATTCACTAGTAATTCAAGATGTCACCTTCATATCATTGGTCTTCTTTGAGAATGAAGGATGAACAACAAACAAGCTCATTAGCCACAATCACAGAGCCCAAATGCACCCACAAGGGTGAAGAGACATGCATACAGCTTTGCCTCCTAGGACCCTAGGAGAGTTTTACTCTAGCCTAAAGCAGCAATAAGAAAACTTGTTTACCTTTCAAAGAAACTAGAGAGTTAAGAGAAAAGGCAGAGAGGGTGTGGTCCCAATCATACGCCAGTAAAAGGAGCCTTACCTATGCTAACAGAAGGAAAGTACTCAGTACGTTATAAGAGCTTTTGATTTATTGAGGGATTTGGGGGCAGCAATCCTTCACTAATCAGCCAAAGGGAAAGTCTTTTACTCTTGCTCTTTCCTGTTGTCTGTGTTCAAGTGAAGAGGTAAGAATTGCTTTAAGCCCTCAGTAGGGAGATAGGTCTCAGACCTTTACCCTCCATGGGAGCAACCACAGTGGCATGTTGGTAAAGGTTTACCAATCAGCTCTCCAGGGAAAAAAAAATGTATACAAGATAAACTTTTAAATTTAATCTGCATTATTAATAATGTCTTTGTCCCTTTCTTAAGTCTACACAATCAACAAAATAATAAATCAAACCCCGATTGGCTGGTTTCCAAGGTATAAATGCTCAAATTGAAATTTTAACAACCAGGTCTCTTGAGCTGGTTCCATTTGGCTCCAGCAGACCTATGGATCACCACATGACCTGTGAGTACCTGGGCCTGCTGTTATTTCTGTCTCTGTGGTTTCTACTTTTTCTGATTTTAGCTGGAGTATTAGAGATAGCTATGACCTTGTGAGCTTCAAAAGATCAGAATAGCAAGCACCAGAAGTCAGGGAGACAGTGTCCATGCCAGGATTTGGGGGAGGACAAGCATGGGTGAAGCAGCAACCAAGGCCCTGAAGAGTGACTTTCTTGACTCAGCCAAGTGGTATCACAGACATGTAGTACTCATCCGTAGATTGACAACCATGAATTCAATTCAAAAGTGAACTTAGTTGGGTGAATACTGGGCAGAAGCCAAGTTCATTTTGAACTCACTTTCCTCAGAGACAAAGGTGGCACAGAGAAGACTGTGCCCCTAGGTTTTGGGGAAAATGTTTCTAACTTCTGCTCTTGGCTATATATTCTCAATGAATGTGCCTTTGTAAAAGTTGATGTTACTTAGTTACTTAGTTGATGAAACTGAGGCACTAATTATAGGTAATTGGTAATTGAGGAAAACACACCAGAATAAGGATTTCATTCAATAGTATTAGAAAAAAAGATTCCTCCTAACCTTTCATGGGTATCACTAGAACCCTGAGGGGGATAAGATACAAGCTAACTTTGTTCAAGATAGGAGCTCTTTGTGCTAGTATACATGTGGATTGGGAGAGTAAGTCCAGGGCACTTGACTTAGAATCAGGAAATCCCAAGTTCAAACCTAGCCTGAGACATCCACTAGTTGCTTCACTTTGGGCAAGTCATTCTTACCTGTAAAATAGGGATAATAAGAACATTTACCTTCCATCACTGTTGAGCGGATGAGATGTTTGTAAATCACTTTACAAACCTTAAAGCACTATATAACTGTTAGCTTTTGTTAACTACTCATCCAGAGTATGGAAATATTGCCTCTTCCCTCTTCGCCCCCAGCATGGAGTGAGGTGGAGCTGTCAAGAGCAAGACAGATCCAAGGGTGCTCCTGCTCTGGTGATGAGAGCTTCAGAGACCAAAGTAAAGAAAAAAACTTAGCAAGTTTTGGCCCCCATCTTGGACTGAGGAGATGGAAGTTTTGAAAAACAGTATAGTGACTCATTGGTCATGAACAGATTGTAAATTGCAGAGCTAGGAAGATTGGCAGGAAGTTTAGAGGCAGAGGGATGTGCCTCTACTGCCATCCCTTCCCCCTTCTAGCAGCAAGAAGCTACAGATTCATAACGGACATATGGAATAGGGCTCCAACTGAAAAATTTCCATCCTAGAAAATATAGTTGATTCTGGTCAATTTGCACACATCTTTGGAACAGTGACTTAATCTAGGATTCCAAGAATGGAAAAGGAGGGAGGAATGTCCCTCCTTTTGACAAAACTTTTTTCTGTAGTATTGTGAACTGCCTACCAGAAGTGAGGGATCAGCCTCAGGATCCTGAATGATACCATTCATATATTGTCTCAGCTTTCTTATTTGACTCTCCACCTTTTTCTTCCTTTTTGGCTGCAAATCTCCTACCTG